CATATATTATCACCATCATTTGTTAAAGAAACATCCTCTTAACACCAAAGTACATAGAACGATCATAATCTCAGAATAAAGGACAGTTCTCTAAATGGAATAAATTTGGTTTCATGAAAAATTCATAATGTTTTTTTTAAAATTTTACTTCCGTCTTTTTCTCGCTACGGGTGGAGATATTATCCCAAACCAATACAGATCTATGGGCTAGCATTTGGGAACCACTCATATAATTAAACCCCTTCGGCCTGAGGTTTCGTTTCTCTTTCCAGATCCATTCTCCACCCTTCCCCTACTCTGCTCCTTTCCAGGCTCACTGGTCTCTCTGGACTTGTCATTCAGGGTCTCTTACCCTCTGGCTTTTTCTGGGCTCAGCCCAAGGGAGATACAGAAGAACATAGGGTGAGAGAAGAGGAGCCCAGGCTATTTATTCCACTGGTCTGTCCACCATTAGGTCTGAGCACAGGTTGGCGGTGGTTCTATCTCTCCATCCAGGGGTCAGCTCACAGACATGGCCCTCTCCTCAAGCTCTCTTACTAGATTCCATATTAATTTTCTGCTATTATCTCTTCCCCTACCTCTCCCATTCAAGGGGAGGCAAAGATTACCTTCACTTCTTGGGAGTGCCCTGCCATCCTTCGTTCATGCCCTTAACTGTGCCCGCAGGTTGGTATACAGTCCCTCCATTAAACTCCCCTCCGTCACTCCATTGGAGGGATTGACTGTTTCCTGCTCAGATGTGCCCAATACATGCCTCCTTTAAAGATGAGAAATTGAGGCCCCAAGAAGTGAAACCTGGAAGTCACACAGCCCAAGGGATGTGGTCAGGTCCAGAATGTGGCCTTCCAGATTACAAGCAGTGCTGTGCTTAGTCAGTGCTCATCTGACATCCTCCCAATGTCGACCTCCCTCACAGGCATATTGATAGGCACTTTCTAGAACCTTCTTTCCCCTGGACTTTGACAAGAGTTGTAGTGTGTTCAATTTTGAATAAAAAATATCGTATTAGCAGACTGTTTAGGCAATTCCAACACAGAGGAATACTGTTTCCATTAGAATGGACTGAAATCAGGAAAAACTGAGTTTTTTAAACGGTTGCCTAAATAGAAACTGGCAATTTGGCCTAAGATACTGTTGTAAAAGTTAAGCACAAAAGGACACGAGAGTGATGAAATTTCCACTGTAAGATGAATTCTGATCACCAAACAGGGTGGGTAGGGATAACATAAACCGTACAGGGTAAGGGGCTGAGGTGGGAGGCTAGGGAAAATCTTTCATCAGCACGAGAGATATGAGCAGGTTATAGAAAGGTGAAGAAGTTTAGAGCCTTCAGTGCTGGTCAAGCAGGGGGAAAGCTTGCTTTCCCCTTGCTTCCCCCTTTAGAAGAGACATTGAGCATGAAGCTTGACCATTGCAAAATGTGTTGAAAGCATGTTTGATCTGGCATGAAGTGACTGAACCACTGGGCAGGGGCTGCTGCTGGGTCCCTGTACATTCGAAGTTTCAGAATGCTGGAAACATTTAATTGTCTTAAACTGACCCACGTCAAAACACTCTTCTGTGAAGGTGCTATTTGCTACCATCACACCTTTATTTAGCAATCTTACTTTTAAACAAATGCACATGCACATATTTAGCACATTAACTTTGTTCTAATTGCATACTTGAATTTCCCGCTACTATCGTTTGGTCACTTGCTGTAACACAAGTGCCTCTAATGGGGACATTCTTTTACTAGGGTTTAAAAATAAGCTAGAAAGTTTTAATATCAAATGATTCTCTTTAAAGAAGTTGGGGCAATGGAATGACTAATAATAACATGAACTGAGCATTTCTAAGTAGTTACCCGCTTTAGCTTACTTAGTCTTCAGGACAACCCTGCCATCATCACCCAATTCATGGCCACCTCCTGGCTTTCTTTTACTCAAGCTTGTACCTGGCCTTTGGCGAGCAGAATTTCCTTAGGGCTCTGACCTGGGCCCGCATCCCAGGCTGGATACATGGAAAGGATTGCTCATAGAAGCCTATCAGCAGAGGGGAGTGCTCCCCTGGTGCAAACCACCTTCTTTGATGGCTGAGCCTTCAATCCATCAACAGCTACGTATTGGGCTCCTACTAAATGCTCAGCGCTGTGCAGTCTGGCCTCTGCAGGCAGGACCCTTTCTACCTGTGTTGCATGTGGATTCAGAGGCAGGGGGAGGATCTGGGTCAGAGACCTTGAACCAGTCCTGAAGAGTGGAAGGAGTTCGTGTGGCTGAGGAAGAAGGGCAAGGTCATCATAAGACAAAGAAATACTGACTTAAAAGTAAGGAAGGGGATGATAAAAAGATGCTGAGACGGGTTAGTGTCATCGAGAAAATTTAGGTTAGATAAAAAGAACAGATTTTCCTCCAGATCCTCAGATGAGGAACCTGGACAACTAAACGATAATTGACTCACAATTCTGTAGAAGATTCGTCAATTAGCAAATTGTCAACTTTAACACGCATGCATAAGACTCCAGTGACTTTTTTGTGGCCAAAAAGTTTAATTTGAATTCTTAATTTGTAGCATTCTTTTAGTTTATTCATCTTGGTTATCCTAGTTACCTGTACTTAGATGACTGGATTGATATTTAGGTAGAAGTTTTTAAGACAGAAAGTAGAAGTTCAAAACTGGAAGTCCCATTGAACTGCTGGAATTTACCACTCGAAAATCCACAGACAGGATCAGAACCCAAACACCTGTACAAATCATGTATTTTCAACCTGTGATAGCATTTAACAGACTTTTGATTAGTATGATTCACTCATCAATTACTTTAACTACCAAGACAGTTTTGTGTTCATAATAAACATAAGTGGCTTTATGTGGGGGTGTGGCCATATGTGCCCCAAGCAGAAGGAACTTTATGCTAGAAGTCCCATTTTCGGCTCTTCCACCTTTCCATCCTGCAAAACTAGGACAGTGACTAACTATGTCTAACTTCTGTAGGGTCCTTGAAACAACACACCTACCTCTAAAACTTTGAACCCCATGTATGTCCTTGTTTCTGAAATTATTCTTGGTTTAATTTTTATTCCTTTGTTTGGTAAATGGGAGTTGCTTCCTTTTAAAGAGTGCTTGCCTATGTAGAAGCCATTTTTATGTCTGCATAGATACATTTGTGGCTCTTTCCCTTAAGGGAGTGGGAGAACGGGCAGGCCAGAGAGTGGAGAGTGATAGCTTGCAGCTGGAGCATAGGTGCTGAAGAAAGACTGCATTCTTCAGTTTGCTCAGGACTCTCCCTGTTCGGCAACACATGGTGGTTTCTTGAATCCACGTGTATAAAAAGTCCTATGGCATCTACTGGCACTCTTCAGGCAAGTCTGTTTCATTTGGCTTTGACTTACAGTGCTTCTCTCTTACTGGAAATGATTGTCCTTCTTGGCTAGGGAAATTTGGGATGTTTGGAGAGAAAGGTCTAGAGAAACAGATTAATTGATCTTGCTGGATCTACTCACAAAAAGTTTAAGAAACTTTCTCTTGAGATCAAACATTAGACAAGAAGTTTCTCCCTGGAAATAGCAACTAGATCCAGAATTACCAACCTTTTTGAAATAGTTTGGCCTCTTGAAATTTCCCTTTTCTACATAAAATGTTTCGTAGCATGAATTGTTTATAGGTGTAAATACACAAGAGTTTTGTGTTGAGGTTCATTTTTTGAGATTTATTTTTTCTGGACTGACTTTTGAAATGTATTGGAATCATTATGGGATGCTAAGGATCATTGATTTATTCCAAATATTGGTGTGGCCCAAGATGTTCATCCCCCAAAGTCTGATTGGTGCAGGGGGGATTGGGGGTGGGGATTATGCAGCCCTGGGTGATCCAGGAGCCAGGCTCTTTTGGAATGTAGCACCATTTCTTTGCCCTGCATCCTATGGAGTTTCATTTATATGAGAGGCCCATGGCAGGGCCCTAGGGTTCAGAGTACTGTAAAACAACCATAGGACCTGAAGGAATGCTTTATCTTTATGGCTGGTTCCATTTACCACCAGATGGCTCTATTGTATCATTAGGAAATGCACACATGTATAAAGTTGGTGGGCTCCTAAACCAAAGGAAGAAAACAAAGCAGCAGTCCAAAAAAAGGAAAGAAAAGAAAAAAGGAAAAGAAAAGAATGAAAACAGCTCTTTCTTTTTATGGGGTTAATTGGAAGCAGCTATAGGAGCCTGGAGCATTCACAAGAGAACAGGACACACCCAAGAAGGCTGCAGGAAGGTCATAATCCTAGCACTTACGAAGTCTCCCTTTTCCAGTTCTCATATTGCTGTGTAATTGTGAATTAATTGTCAAGATAGCCAGAGTTGTCAGGAAGTGCTCTAGTCTCAGCAGGGCCTGTAAGTGATATTTCCGTACCAATGGTGTATACTCTTTTGCTTGGAGATGAGAAAGATCAACTACAGAAAACCTTGGAAAGGCAAAATCTCCACAGCTGCCGATTTCAGTCATCCTAGCCATATTCAGGGCAAGAATGATCTGGGGATTCTAAACCCTGTGGTATCTTTGCTTTAATGACACTTGTGATAAGAAAGTGATGATCAGAGGAATCGAGCTTCTCTGAGTTCACATGGTTCTGTTCCTCGGGATAGGTGAATGCTAAAAATAGAGGCATTCTAGGTGACAGCTCTCACTGGGAATGTGAAATTCTGGTCTTGGCCTCTTGAAGGAAGGTTCTGTTTGTATCAAGAACAAAAAGCTGCAGATGAACCAAATTCCAGTGTGGGTAATTTTAGTCTAACTTTCTAAAGTCGTTCATTGTCATAATTTAATATGCATTTTTTACCCTCCCACTTAGACATTAAACTGTTAAGTAAGACTGTTGTTTTTATAACATTTCACTGTTTTATGACTGTGTTGAAGGAAAGGAGATGATTTGTCTGACTTTATTAACCCTGTCCTTAATCCATAAAGTTGCTTAAGATACACTCAGGAAGCTATCCATACCAAAAAGTAATACTTGATTATTTTTTTAAAGAAGGAGTCCCTGGAAACCAGACAGATGGCATTTACTTTGGCTCAACTCGAGGCCTTGGAGATTTGCCTGAAGGAAGCAGAAGAAAAGGCTAAATCCTTATCTGAACAGGTAGTACCTGTCATTCAGACTGGAAATCTGTGTTCTTCAAGTGTTCAGTAGAACAAGTGTAAATCTAAATACATGTTTTACAAAAACCAGAAACAGATCTATAAATACAGAGAGCAAAACTGATGGTTCCCAGAGGAAAGGGGGGTCAGGGGATGGGCAAAATGGGTGGAAGGAGTGGGGAGGTAGAGGCTTCCAGTTATGGAACGAATAGGTCATGGGAATAAAAGGCAGAGCACAGGGAACAAAGTCAATGATACTGTAACAGTGCTATATGAGGACAGATGGCAACTACACTTGCAGGGAGCAGAGCAAACCTGTAGAGACTGTGAATCACTATGTTGTACACCTGAAACTAACATTGCGTGTCAACTATACTCAAGGTAAATAAACAAACCAATCAATCAGTCCATCTGTTTTGACCTCTGCACCTATTGATACACACACACACACACACACACACACAGGACTTCATTCATTTTTGATATAACAATAATTACTTTAATCCTTATGGACCTTTCCAGCCTTTAAAACTCCTTTTACGTTTCTATTTTGGTTTTCATTCACTAGCCCATGAGTTAGGCAAGCCATCTTTAAGCCAGTGGCTCTCCTGAATCACTGAAGCATATTTGCATTACACACAGATAAGCCCAAAGGTAAGATAAAACCTACAGAAACCACACAGGAGCAATTTTCTCGGATTATTTGAGGAAATAAAGTTTTTTTCAAATATTGGCTTCCCTCTTGGGTTTTTGAAACTCACAGGAGCTAGGGAGCCCAGCCTGTAAGTGGGTAGCGTAGCATCGGACGCTCTAGAGGTGACCTGTGTCCACAGCAAATCTCTGCCTTCAGAGACATTGACTGTGGTATCAGCAAAGCTCAGACCAGGGACTGGACCATTTTCCCAGGATGACACTTTGCAAATAGCATAGTGCCTACAGCAAATCCGAATGTTACGGTTGCCCTTCCCCTTGGGGAGGGGGGCTTGGCCCCAGAGGGCAAAGCTGCCTAGAGTCTGGTGATCCACTTCTGGTGATCATCGGTGGAGGAAAAAGGACAGAAATGTTATAAACATTTATTTGATTTTTCATGAATTGGTACATTTTTGTTATATATTTTTAGAAACTTATGAAAAACAATTTTAAGTTTTCTTTTCGTAACAAGGTCTGCCTAGCAAAATCTGATTGCATAAGAATTTTATAAGAATTTTTGCGGAAACTAGGGGAGATGTGCCTGTGTTACAAGAAAAAGAAGTATAATTAACAACTAATGTAGTGACACACGCAAATGGCCTCCATTTCTTTTTCCAATTTACCAAAAAAGTGCATCTCTTACTTTGGGATATGTTTACTGTTTACTGACCGAGTGTGATTGATGAAAAACTTATGTCGATGAATGAAAGGGTGTTGCCCTAGGCCCAGACCCATTTGGAAAAGTTTCTTTGTTAGCCGCATGCCCTAACCCTGGCTTACCAACGGGTCTTTCTTCTAAAACAAACAAAAACAAGTCTCAAACTGCAGCAAAATTATGAATTATGAAGAGTATACTGATGAACCAGAGCCTCCAAACCTGGGAGAAAGTTTGAATGGCTAACAGAAAGTGGGTACCCCTGCTTGTATTAGTTGCGCTGAGAAGATACGTGTTTATTTTGCAATTGTATGCCTTTTAATGATTTCTCATTTAAACCAGTAAAATTCGATTCACTCATAAAAGTACTCATCCCTTTTGTTCTTTATAAAATATATATTTTTAAAGATTTTAGTTGTTTATTTGACAGACAGCAGGAGTTGGGGGTAGGGGTGCAGAGGGAGAGCGAGAAGAAGCAGGGTCCCCGCGGAGCAGGGAGCCTGACATGGGGCTCCATCCCAGGACCCTGAGATCATGACCTGAGCCAAAGGCAGACGCTTAACTGACTGACCCACCCCAGGCACCCGTGAAATATTTTTATCCAATACAACTAGCCCTTAATACTGAAGATTCTTAGCTCGAGGATACTTTCTGTAATATCAAACTATGAGTCCCATTTTTTTTTTTTTTTTTTTTTTTAGTATTTAGCAGTTTAAATATATAAAATAGAAACTGGATTTTACTCAACTGCTTTGTACCTACAATGAGTAAGATGCTAGTTAGGTGTTTGGGGAAGAAAGACATATAAGCAGGGCTTCTGTCCCCAAGTAGCTCACAACCAAAAGAATCACTGAAAGAGCTAGTGAGTGAAAACAGGTGTTTTTATGGCTCCAGATAAACTGCACAATAGCACTAAATTGCAGGGTCTGTGTGTGTTATTTTCCTGAAGTATTGCTTTTGGAGTTGCCAAATTTGCCGAAGTGAATTTAATTGGAAGTTGGTAATGGTTTGCAGAAAAGGAAAGGATGATATGTTAAAAAAAAAAAAAGTACATTATAGGCATTTTGAACATTACATTTTTAATTAAGTTGAGTACTTATTAGATTTGGCTGTCTCTACTGTTGTAGTTGAAAAGGTTAATCAAATAGAGACACTGTTCTAAGAGGAGTTAATCCTGAAATTTTTGCTTCCTCCAGTATTGTAGCTTAGCCTTATTCTTGAAAAGATACAAAGTATAAGAACATTCCCCTCACCTCTATTTTTAAATTCAGTAGACATTTTTCAAATGTGATGGCGGAAGAATAGGGAAAGGCAAGGGGGGGCGGGGCAACTGACCTTTCTTAAGGCTAAGATTGGAGAATATTTCAGAAAGGAACACCTGTGTCAAACAATCAAACGTTTGTCCACTGGGTGCCACTGTCTTCCTTACCAGGCTATGCCACTAAGTGATGGCAAAAAGAGAAATTGTCGCTAATATTCAAGACAATGATGTGTGTGTGTGTCTGTAGGAATATCTCTGCCTGTATCCCCATATACATGTTAAAGCTTCTTTTATATATCACTAATTTAGGACTTGTCACAAGGACCGTGGGAAATGCTAGCTGGCGTTCACTGGTAATCCAAATCATTTTGTCAGCCCTGTGGCTGAATATTGGCCAGGTAGGCTGGCCTGGCAGGCTAGAAACAGGTGGGGGGAAGCAGAGGAGATGGTGAGGACAAAGATTTGTGCTGGAACCAAGGAGTGGAACATGGTATTGCCAACAGTCGATCCTGCCTTTGCGAAAACAGTAAATTTCACCGTTAGCCAAATTGTTTCCTCCTGGCTTTGCCTCAGACTAGAACATAGAATTAACACAGAATGGAAACTATAGGTGCCGAAGGTTTCCTCTGCACTAAGCACCTGTTGGTCCTGTGCCTCAGTTTATCTACATTGAATCTTTCTAAGGTCAGCAAGGTCCAGCAAGGTCTCTGTTGGTCCACTATGAAGAAGAAACCTATAAATAGTGAGGAAATAAGAAGATTGTGTCTAGGGGGTGGGGGGATCGGTTAGCCTGGTGATGGGTATTAAAGAGGGCACGTTCTGCGTGGAGCACCGGGTGTTATGCACAAACAATGAATCGTGGAACACTACATCCAAAACTAATGACGTAATGTATGGTGATTAACAATAAAAAATTATTAAAAAAAGAAGAAGAAGATTGTGTCTACTTCCCATGACATCACACAGGAAACAGAATTCTTGGTTGTTTTCCCTCTAGCTGACAATTTCTCTTTATTTCTCTGCAGTCATGTCTCTATTGTCAAGATAAAAGCAATATGAGATAAGGATAATTTACAATTAAGATTTATAATCTGAGCTATTTATAGCTGTAAAAATTTTGCAGCAACTCACTTGGCCAGAGTGAGAAAGGGTCATGAGAATCACACTCCTGTCCTGGGTAATACAGTAAATAACTCATCATCAGCAAGTTTTGCTAAAGAAGATACTTGATTATATTTCCAGCAGGTTGAGACCAGTGGGAGGAAATGCCTGGAAATTTGGTAGTAGATAAAGGACCAGGAGGGGCAGGTAGAAACAAAGGAAAGTGTTAGGGGAGTAGAGAGAAAGCAGAGTAAAAATGCTTCTGGAGAAAATCATAAACAGTTTTTGCATGTGTGCTGGCTTCTAGCACCGGTGCAGACGAGAGGGACGAAGAAAGGGGCTTCAGGAGGCTGCAGTCTGTGGCCATACCAAATAAATAGATCCCACAGCCTTTGTGCTGGGATCCCAATGCTTCTCGGGCTGAGAAAGTGTCAGGAAAACCCACAGTTTCACAATGGAGCGCAAACCCAGAGATTCCCCCCAGTGCAGAGGGACTCGGCAGGGCGGCTCCTGAGACACTTCCTCTGGCCACAGTTTTGGCCCGTGTCTCTCTCATTCATCAGCAGCTTCTGCTTCCCAGCTCCTAGCAGCAGACCCAGGAGAGCTCAGGCTCCATTACTTGCCAGTTAACGACAGTGGGCAAGTCGCATAATCTCTCCGATGCTCAGGCAGCTGTCTTATCTAGAAGTGGGTTAGGGGCGCCTGGGTGGCTCAAGTCGGTTAAGTGTCCGACTCTTGATTTCAGCTCAGGTCATGATCTCAGGGTCGTGAGATGGAGCCCTGTGACTGCGGGCTCTGCGCTCAGCGGGGGATTCTGCTTGAGATTCTCTCTCTCCCTCTGCCCCTCCCCCCTCAAATAAATAAATAAATCTAAAAAATACTAAAAGGAGGTAAACATACTGGCTTCACAGGCATTTGTGAAGTTTAACGAGAAGTGTAGCTGGCTTTTAGCAGTTCCTCAACAAAGGTTTATCTCTACTTTTAGTAGCCATAACAAAACTATATGGTTCTCTGTGTCACGTATCATGGGCTAACGTGTGTATGTGTATAAGGAGTTTCTCTTTTTTTGCTGGTATCTCTCAAAGTGTTTGAAAGACACTTAAGTTGTAACACAGCACTCCTTCAGATTCACGATCTTTGAGTCTTTCAAGCAGGACCCCGGCCGGGTCCCTTTTCCTAGCTTGGCTAGTTGAGGGTCCGACTTTCTCATGCACTCTTTCCAAGCTATTCGTGTGGTGAAGGGACCTGAGTACTTTCACCTTGTTCATCCTTTTTACTTCATCTCTTGGGTCTT